CTCCGCTTCCAAATCTTACTGCCCATCAGGAGACTTTCATCTTCTCACTCTACTCAGCTCTTGTCAGGCAGCACTTCTGGTTCCCACAGTTCAAAAGAGGCACAGATAGGCTGGAGAGGGTCCAGAGGAGGGTTGTGAAGATGACCAAAGGGCTAGAGAAGCCTGCCTGATGAGGGAAGACTGGAAGAGTTGGGTCTGTTCTCCCTGGAGATGAGACAGCTCAGGGGATCCTCACATGTATTCCAGCATGGAAAGAGCAGCTACAGGGAGGACAGAAACTCTCTTGAGAAGGAGCCATGGGGAGAAGAAAATGGGGCAACAGGTACAAGCTGCACAAAGAGAGGCTTCATCATGATGTAAGAATTTTTTACAGTGAGATCAGTCATTCACTGGAACAACCTCCCCAGGGATGTGGTGGAATTTGCATCACCCAAGGTTTTCAGGATGTGATTGGACAGGATGCAAGATAATCTCATCTGGTGTCTCTTTCCCACGAAAGGTTGGAACAGACGATCTTTCAAGGTCCCTTCCTGCCTGGGATGTTCTTTGATTTTTTGGTTCAGTGATTTGGTTTGTCTATTAAGTCTTCTAACAGGCAGCTGTCAGAGAGGGACCTTCTCTGCCATTTGCTCAGCCTGGGCAAGGACTGAAAGGTGGACAGCAGGGAAGAGATGTAAAGGGTGTTTAGATTACACAAGCAGACCAGTCATGGACAGTCAGGTCCCCACCAGCCCTTGGCACACCTCAGCCTCATTGGAGTTTTCCTGGGAGTGTGATCCAGAGATTCATGGAGGTCAGCAGATGTGTCAGACCACCATGGCAGTGTCAGGGGACAGTCACAGCATGATCCTCTGACACTGAGCATTGCTTGGGAAATGAAGGATGCCCAGCACCTCAGGAGAATCAGTCATAGGGCAGGAGAAGCCTCTCTAGTGAACAGCAGTAATTACCTGCAGAGTAGAAAGCTGGGTCATTCATTAGCCTGCACAGTAATAATTTGCTGAAACTCATTTTTTTTGAAGGAGTGGCTGAAGTGATCTGCATTTGGATGCCCATTTCCTCCTCCCCAGACATTTTGCTGGAGAGGTGGAGGTCTGGCTGCTCCACAGCCAGGGAAGTCACTGCCCCAAAGCCACCAGGGTCTGTGTCCCTGCAGCAAGGCTCTCTGGCACAAAGCTTGCTTCCTTCCTTCCCAGACTCTGACAGCCTGTAATCATTTTATCTCTCAGGATTAATGGCACCAAGCAATAAACTCGCATCCTAATTATTGTAATTATTTCTTTCTTTGTATGTCAGCCTTGGTAACGATGTTTTTACAGCTGATGGGATGGAAGGGAGGGGAGAAACGAAATATTGTCACAGTAAAGAAGAAAGAGCAATGAGCATACTCCTTTCCACTCACTTAAGGTTTTAGAACCCACTTGAGTTTTCTGTTTCCTAAGATCCCAGAAATCAGCGGTGATTGTCCTAATACTACAAAGTAGCAGCAATTTGGGATTAAATTCCTAAGTATCTTAAGCACCTACCTGCCACTTTAGCCCCAGAGATGCCTGAATGTCTCCAAAGTTCCCTGTACGTATGAGGACCCACTGTGTGCTCAGAACTGTGAACTTTCTTCATGGCAGGAGCAGCTCACTGCTTTGCTAAACCTCAGGCATGACTCACAAGCTAAGCATTATGCCAGTCTTATCTACGGGAATTGCATACGGAGGGAGCAGAAGTTGCTCTAATCACTGTTTAAAATTCATACAGTCTTCCAGAGGGTGGAATTCAGCATCCATTTCTTCCCCACTGTATCAGCACTATGATGGGAAGGTACAGGATTGAGCTGCTTGTCCCAAGCACTGGGAAGGAATTCTTTCCAGGGTTGTAGCCCAGGTTCCAGAGAACAAGGGCAGCGCTTGCCCACTCACTGTAACCCCAAATCCAGAGCATGGGCTGGGGAGGAGCCCAGACCCAGATCATTTTGGGAAGGTTTCCTTGGCTGCTCAGCAGTGGCAGCAGCTCTAGCTCAGAGTAGCTCCTACTAAACGTGCCACAGAAAAAATTTCACTGGAAGGAATGTGGGTGGCTAAGATGCAACACAAGAATTTGTAAAGCACCCACGTCCCTGTTTAGAGACCTAACGTGAGACAGATTCCCTGACGAGGGAATACCAGCACTTAAAGCCAGATTTCAGCTATGCAGCACAGAGCCAGCAGGAAAGGGCTGGTGGCTGCTTGGCTCCTGTTCCTATGGTCACCTGTAGAGTCTTCCCTCTGGTCAGTTCCATTCTTCCCATCCAGATCAAAAGCTCCACACAGAGGAATTTCATCAGTTAATGAGCATTGAGAGGTAGAGCAGCCCCATAAATCAGTGGTGACTGAGGGGTGAGATCCTCTGTATTGGTGTGAGGTGCTGCCATCTACACCAGCATGTCCACACCACTAAATTAAAACTAAGGCCATTCTTGGGCAGCAGACCTTGATCATCAGCACTGATGGAACCAGCCTCAGGCTCCATGTTCCACACTTATATTTGTTTCAATTGCCCATTATTGATAGTTCTTCAGACAGATCTTTTTTGGGGCTCTTTTAGAGTTTGTTTTCTTTTTCCCCACTTAACCCAACAAAACTGATAACCCATTTAATTTTTTATTTCCTTTTTTTTGCATCAAGCATTGTGTAGGAGTACTGTTTTAATTAGTAATCAGCATTTCATTAGAGAACCGAGGCAGCAGAGAGAGAGCATTAGAGAATCAAGGCTTTGTACCACAGTCCATCTCTAACATTAAATCTTCTTCCACATCCCAAAGCATATCCCAAACAATTTTCCATCTTCAATTTCACTGTCCAGAAAAAAAAAAAAGGTGAAGCAAAGCCAGCAACCACTACCCAAGGCCCGCAACTCTCATTCTGCTCATTTCAGCAGCCCCTCCACCACATCAGGAGCCTGGGGTAGGCAATCCTTCCTCCTTCTCAGGCCAGATTTTTCAAGCTGTAATTGCCAGCCTGCCTAAATAGAAACTTGTTCCTGTCCAGAAATGGGCTTTCCACCCCTCAGCAAATATCCTAAGTCCAAAACTGTGGTTTAATTAGCACATTTGTCTGATTTACTGGGTCAGCTGGTCCTGCCACCTCTGCCTCCTCATGGGCATAGGGACTGAGCCTTGGCAGGAGTTCCTGCCAGGCAGTGTCTTTCTGCCACCAGCTCTGGCTCCTTTGGAGGTGGGCTCCTGCTCTTTCAAAGCCATCTTTCAGGATGTCACTTGCTTTACTCAAGTCCTTATTCTCCCCCATTTCTCCCTGACGTTTGAAAAATAATTACCCGTGGTTCAGTAAGTTCATTAGCAAACTCCCTCAGGAGCCTGGGCTATGCATCATCCAGCCCTGCTGATTTGTGGATAAGCTCTAATCAAGTGTTTCAAGTCTCTCTCTCCTTCCTCCTCCTTTCAGATTAACAGTTATTTTGACAAGATTCTCATTATTTCCTATTTCCTGGCAGTACCCAGGGACTAGGCTTATTTGAGTCCTCACTGTTGTCATTGTGAGTTTATTTTTAACCTCAGGCTCTGCTTCTCCACAAGGACATCAGAGTCTTGTGTTCTTCAGAAGCACGTGGCATTGTCGGTGCCATTTTAGTCTCAGTTCATCCTGTGTCTTCCAGCATTCTCCAGCTTTTGCCTTTATCACTTTTTAACTTTCCTCTTCCCATTACTTCAAAATTAGCCAGACAAAATTATTTTGCTCTTACCATGCCTAGAGGATCACTACACTTTTCCACCTTGTTAGATCTAGGCCACCTTCTTACTTGCAATTAATTTCTCATCTTCCTGTCCCTCTTGTTCTCCCTGCTATCCTTTGGCAGGTGCATACTCCTCAACTCTCCCTTTTCCTTCCCAACACATTCATCAGCTGCTCTCCAAATGGACCCAGCCACCAGAAAAGCCATTGCCAACCCCATCCAGATTAACAACACCTTTAAATCAACTTGGAAGGCAAAGTTGGGCTTCCTAGCATGAAAAGCAGACAACCCCAATTTTGAGTTTCCCCACACACAGTGGGAAGACAGCATGGAGCACATGGCAGGTCCTACATTGGCTTTTCCCACCCAAATGCCTCTGCCATGCTCTGCCATTTCCAAATGCACACATGGGAGCCCTGCCCCATCTTCATCAGCCCAAAGCACTGTCCTGCCATGTGCACCATTTCTCAAGAGGCCAGGGCATAAAGTGGAAGAAAAAAGAAGAGACCAAGGGGCAAGTTTTCTTTCAAATACCTTCCACACTCGTGCACCTTCCCTCTTAACAGGAGCCTGTGGACCATGGGACTAGCCCAGCCCCATTCTTCTTGATTTACACAAGGTATCTGAAGTCAAACACTTTGACTTTAGGAAAAGCAGTAAGGTTTTTTGTCTTCTTTAGATGCTAACAAAGAGCTACTCTGTCATTCTCTCAGCTGCACAGCCCTGACCATCAGATCTGTGTGCTCCAGATCCACTTTCCCAAGGACAGCTCTGGGATGCACAAGGACAATGGCAGTGGGATCTCCAGGCTCCCATGCCAGAGCACAACCATGGAAGTGGCTGAAGCAGCAGAACATATTTTGAAGATTTTTACCCCCCATTTTGAAGCAAGAGCTTATTCCAGCTGAGGTGGTGGAAACCCCAGATTGCTGAGATTGGTTTTACATGTGCAAAGCATTAAAAGGACACACCACCCTGCTGCTTTTGCTGCAGATCCCATGTGTGGGCTGGAGAAACATCTCACTTGGACTTTTATCTGTTGTTTACATTAGAGACAATAGTTACCTACCTGGCAGGAACACAAAAAGGATTAATTTTGGGGAGAGAAAGGGAGAGAGAAGAGAAATGCTCACACAGCTTTATACAGATAAGAATAAAAGGTGTATTCATGGTTTACCCATTGTTATAAAAGATTGGGCTTGTTTTAAGCCTAAAAATAAAATTGCTCAATAAGACAACTAACTCAAACTAACTTTTTTGTTTTGTTTAAAACATAGTGCTGTGGTTCTGGATGGAAAAATCTATGCTACTGGTGGGATTGTCAGCAGTGAAGGACCTGCCCTGGGAAACATGGAAGCCTACGACCCTAAAACAAATACATGGACACTTCTACCAAATATGCCCTGCCCCGTTTTCCGACACGGCTGCGTAGCAATCAAGAAGTACATCCAGAGTGGCTGATGTTCCCCAGGAGTTGGATGGAGAACTGTTGGTACCTGCTGAAGGCAGGCAAGAGGAATACTATTACTTAAGGAACAGAAGCAGCAAAGCCAGCCAGTGAACATATTGCTCTAAAGTCTTGAATAGTGTCTACATTGAATGTAGAAAAATCATCCTCACCTTTTGGTGAACAAGGAGCAGAGAGCTCCGTGCTATGTAAGATATTGTAACTTAATAATGCAAGGGTGTCACTAGATGTTATAGTGGCACTTGTTCTGGACATCGGCTTTTGGTCAACCCAGGTGCAATAGAATTTCTCATATTTTTTAAGCTGGGGAAGAGAGGAAAAAAATAATCTGCATTTTACTTTAGAGCTCAAGCTTGATTCTTGAAATAACCATGCAGATTAGTTTTACTATTACACTTTAGGCATCAATCTATTTGAAAGGTCAAAGTGTCCTTACCACTTTGATTCCTACATTTGTTTCTAATACATGCTTTTCAATACCAATGACTGAGAGAGATCTTGTGTGACAGATGGCTTACATTGATGTCAGTCTTCCATCAGATCAAACAAATATTTCAGTTTTCTAGAGAGGAGCCCAAAAGCGGGATGAGGTGGGGATTGGGGAGAAGAAGAATAGCCAATGGTAATAAATTCCATGTAAAATGATGAAATCAAAAGGTCTGTTGGGCTGGATGAGTTTCTGCTCCTGGTGATTCTCATGTGGGCACATGGCTGTGCCCATGCCAGGGCGTGGGGGGGGCTTCTAAATCTTTTTCTCTGGGTTTCTGCTGATTTACTCAGCATTGCTCGATTCCTGCCATGCAAAATGGAACCTGTTTGGATTCCAGAGGCATTCTCCTGATAAACCCATTCTTTACTTCTGGAATCACAGTAAAACGCACAGTGTAGTGTGGGTTTGCCACCTGTTCATCAGACACAGAAGATGCCTCCTCTGGCTACGCACTCGGTTTTGGCTCTCAACCAAAATTCCTTGCCTTGGGATACTCGCCACTATCTTTTATGTAAAGTCTGAGAAGTTTTTTATTTTACTTTATTTTTCAAGTTCTAGGTGTGGAAGCCTTATACTTCTTATTTACAGATTTTAAACACATGAGTTTAAAGCCCATGGTAGAAAAATGCATAGACTTAAGCCCAGTGTAAGAGACTTCAAATTATTACTATGTAGAGTTGTAAGTATATGCACAGCACAGGGGTTATATTTTTATATATATTAAAATATTGTCTATCCAGAGAGCATTGTGATGTGGAAATTCTTTATAAATTTATACATAAAAGGAACAAATGGGAGATGGACCGGGTAACATAGAGGGGGCAGGGGAAAGAATCTTAAAATTCACCAGTAGGAAGTAACCCCAAGCTAAGGATTGTCTGGTTTCCTTCCAAGTGGAGGGGAAAAAGTTGCCATACTTGCCTTTGCAGACTCAAATCCCAAATGCCATAACAGTAATTCAAGAAGGAGGGTCCTGTACAGGGTGTGGGTGAGATCTTGCATTCAATATCTAGTTGAATTTCATACCAAATACAGTAGCCTTTTTATATGGAGGGAGGTCTGCCTACAGCTTTGGGGAAATCAATGCAGATGGTTAGCTAATCATCTTATTTTATTAATATCATTTATAAAATAAAATTAAAAAAAAAAGATATTTGTATCTTGCAGTATTTAAAGAAAATGTGCTCGAGTCAGCTGAGTCAAGCTATAGGGTGACTCAAGCCTCTCATTTTGACAGTGAGGTTCCAGCCTTTGTTATGCAGTTGTTTTATTTATTCTTTAAAAAAAAGAAAAATAATAAGCACAACAAAATTATATACTAGTATGTCATTTAAAGTATTTATGTCAAACAGGGTGCAAGTGTGAACCTAAAGATTGGAGCACAAGTTTCTAACTGCCTGGGGCAGGACTAATTTTAGTGTTGGTGTGTGTCTACCTCCAAAGGAGGTGCTACCTGTCAACAAGACTGAAACACATTCGACATTTCCAATTTAGCTTATTTCTTCATTTCTCACACTGGAACAAAACTGGCTATTTCTGTGAATAATATTAAAAACAGGGTTATCTGTAATGGTATTGTATATAGTTTATGTTTACTGTTAAGTTCTTGTTATATTATAATAAATATATTTATAGATCTAGATTCAGCATCCAGATTGGATTAATTTTGTCATGATTGATCAAGAAAAAACACTTCACAAATGGGGACTTCATGTTTCAACCAAGCCAGGGATGAAAATATATTCATTCCATCCAACTAGTTTCTCTTGCAAATCCCAAAATTTATTGCTAATACTTAAACACTCAGAAGCTTCCAAAGTGCTTTCATTCTCATTTCAGAAAAAATCTCTTAGAAGTAATTTTAGATTTTATTCAGAAAGACTGTTCCTTGTTCATCTATTTTCCCAAACGTACTATTAAGTAAAGAACAGAAGGGCTCAAGATAGTTTAGGAAATGAAAAGAACCCCTGATAAACAGCTTTTTAACTTTATTTTTTTTTAATGAAAGCAAAAATTTCTGCTGCACTGCTGCTGCAGTGTCTAAAAGATGAAAGCTGCATTTGCCCTATGGTCAAAATTCCTTCGTATCCAGTGTGGGAGCTCTGTACCTCACTGGATACATCGTTCAGAGAGCAATTCCATGCAACCGTTCATGGCTTCTTTGATGTTTCATTAGGGTGTCATCTGGTAGTTGTAAAACTGGATCTGGAACAAAGATGAGCCAAATATAACTAGTCTCAAATACCACCACAGTGGAACATTTCAGCCGGATCTGAGGAGGTAATTTCTGTTCTGCACATTAACAGGAAGAGCCTAACATTTATTGAAATTGTCTCTGGTTCTTACAGAGTATTTAAGAGCGTGAAATGCAGTTTTTAAACATTTTAGTTTAGGCTTAGTGGCTGAGGTTGAACAGCCTGTGAAGATTACTAAAAGCCTTGCAATTCACTATTACAAAACCATGCTGCAATAATCCAGACCAAGTCGGGTAAATTGCCAACCTTTCATCAAGGCTCTGCATGGATCTCTTACTCAGCACTAGTCAATAATACTTGGTAGGATGCACAAGACACAGACTATTTACTTGTATGTGGAAATTATTTTAGTCCCCCTCTGGGAAGTTGGCTGAGAACTTTTGCCAAATTAATCATGTGCACATACCTGCCCAGAGGTTTTTCTTCTTAAAAGCTTTAAGAAATTCAGAGGGACAAACTGGCTCAGCAGCCTGATAATAAAAATTCTTTTGCTCACTGGTGTGACTCTCCCCTGGCTTACCTGGGAAGGAGAGTGATCTCCAAATGGGGCTGTTCAGGTAATCACCTACCCCTGACAATTCACACAAGTCATCCCCCTTTTCTCCTGTTGTTTCATCTGGTGGCAAACACACTGTACTAATAAAACCTCAGCAACACCATATTTTAATGAACTGCAGGTAGGTGCTAAGGCTGAGCTTAGCACAGAGTAACTGCAGCAGCTAATGAAGAGCACTGGGTACACTCCAGCTTGCCCTTGGAGGGGTCCAGACTAACCAAGCACCAGCACAAGCACCCGCGTTCTGCAGCTGCAGGGATTAGCCAGGAGAGCAGCTGCTCCAGCAGCACAAAGATGTTTAATCAGCAGAGATGGAACAGGCACAAGTGGCTTCAGGTACTCGACCACCCTCCCGGCTTCTCATGCAGAATTTTTGTGAGAAAAAGGCAACGGATCCCAAAGCTTTTCTCCTCTGTTTCCAATGCAAGGGCATGGTCTCAGAACCACACTGCCTCCCTATCCCCACTGAAAAAAGGTGACATAGTGTAATGTAATATCAAATAAAACTACACACAGCATATGCAGTCAGGACTTGGCAAGCTGCAACCTGTGCCAGGTCTGTAAGAAGACACTGACTCTGTATCTACTTGGACATTTTTAACTTGTCATGCTAATACAAGCCTTTTAAATTGGATGAGACCCTTAAGCTCACCCCTTAATGACTTCTTTGCCACTTTAAGTTAGCTTAAAAACAGGAGCTGAAGCGTGCTTTCAGCTGAGGTAGAAATGCCTGCATGTACAGGAAGGCAGCACTAAGTTCCCATCATCAGCAAGTGTTCTGGGCTGATAACTTCAGACTGCAGAAAAGGCCAGGAAGAAAATGGTCTGGAGGGAAGCAGATGGATGCATCCCGGGCACGGTGTTCCCATCACTCATTACATTAAGCTGGACAGCAATACCAGAACAGAAACACCGTTTTTCCTCCAAAAAGCCAAGCTGTTTGAGGCATGATTAAACACTCGCTGAGGTTAGAATTCATGAGAGCAGGAGCTGACATCGTGGGCTCCTCAGCTGAGTTCTGGAAACCTGGAAATAAAAAACAGAGTGGCAGACTACCATGAAAAACAACTCTCCCTTTGCTGGTCACCAGTGTTTTTTCTTTTGATAACACACACTACTTTCAGGAATCCTGTTTAGCTAGCAGATTTCTTAGAGAGTAATAAATTCCAATTTTCTTTATCTAAACAAATTCTACTTCAGTCGGCAGCAGCTTTACAGACAGAACTAAGTGTTCTGGCTCAGTTACTACCTGGGAGAAGGAAGCTCCAGTGGTGCCATCAAGCCATATTTGCCTCTGAATTTTTCACTAGTGACGGGCTGTACAATGAAGATTTGAAAGGCTTCCTGTTTTTAATTTCAAAATCTGTTGGTTTTGAGCAGTGTTCTTTCTTCCTTTGGAGTTCATACATACCCCAGATCTTACATGGCAAAAGTCATACTGGCAAAATCAAACCTTTGCTGTTGTCCAGCATCAGTGACTTTTTCTTACATTTTTGTGGCTAAAGAGCAGACACCTACCTAAGGTCACCTGTAGAAGCATCAGCTTCTCACCTTATTAAAAACAATACATGTTAATAAAAATAGGTCTTACAGGTAGAAATGAGCCAATCCCTCTCCACATCTTGGGAATTTAAGCAATCTATAATTTCTAATGCAATGTCCCTGTGCTGGTGGACATCATCCAAATAAGGATCAGGGAATTGAACAGGGAAAGGGACACATCAAATGCTCTAAGAGTATTCTGATGCTCCAGCAGAATCACTGTCCCTCTACCACAGAAACAATAATCAGCTCTCATAAAGCAAGCCTAAACTGCCAAACCCACTGGAATTTGAGTAGTTGTTTCCATTAAAAGAGATAATCTTCTAGTAAGTTATATATTTTCGTGTCCAGTGAATGTAGTGCTCCATTACTTGTTACATCAATTTCAATTTTACCTGTTTGAATTTAGGCCCAGCTTTTGTGCAAGTTCTCTGTTTATGTACTGGACCATTACAGGCTGAGAAAGCTGAGGCTGTTGAGCCTGGAGAAGGTTACAAAGACATCTCATAGCAACATTCCAGTAATGGGAGGGGGCCTACAGGGAATCCAGGAAGGAACTCTTCAACAGGAACTGTAGTGATGGGATGAGGGGAAAAGGGTACAAATTGAAAGAAGGAAGACTGAGGTTAGATTGGGAAGAAATTCTTACTTGTGAGGGTGGTGAGACACTGGCACAGGATGCCCAGGGATGTTGTGGATGCCCCAACTCTGGCAGTGTTCAAAGCCAGGCTGGATAAGGCCTTGAGACACCTGGTCCAGTGGGAAGTGTCCCTGCCCATGGCAGGGGATTGGGACTAGGTGATCTTTAAGGTCCCTTCCAATCCTTAACATTCTCTGATTCTATCATTAAAAAGCCACACATAGTCTTTCTGGGGACAATCAAGAGTTGAAGTGTGGCGAGCTTGAGAATGGCTCATATTTCTGTTTATTCCTTGACAAGAGGTATTCCCTATGGAGATAAATATGTCCTGACTGCCTACTACCTGGAGAGAATATTAGACTTTCCCAATTGGATAAGGGGTTTTTAATTCCAGAGGTAACCTAACACTCAACCATCTCCACAAAGTCTCTGCCCTCTGACATTCATTTTTAATAACATGGGGGTATTTCAGAGAGTGCCAATAATGTGACAGTTATCAAAGGGCAAGTGAAATGACTGGGTAATTACAGGGCATTCACCTGACATCAAGCCCAAGTAAAAATGGAAAGATGGTATCTAACTAAAGTGATCATGAATCAAAGGGATAAGAAGAAATACAATGATTTTCTAGAAAATTGGCTGTATCACACAAAGCTAATCTCATTCTCTGACAGGATTACACATTTGATTGATAAGGTAATAGATTTTCAACAGCATGTGACAAAATACTTCAACTTCCTCATGGTACAGTATTCAGACAGCAAATATTAGATGGGCTAAGAAAAGACTGATTAATTGAGGAACACCTAATCTGCTCGAGCAATTCTCAATTTGGTACTATCAGAGTGTTTCTAATGGGGGAATCCTCTTCTCCTGAAGTTCTTGAAGGAAAATGTTGACATAAATCACTAGTCACAGACCTGTGGAAAAGGAGATTAGCCTAGGGAAAGATAATGAGGTCTGAACAAGTCAGATGTATGGTGCTGGCTCCTCTGCTGGCTAGGACCCATAAAACTTCTTTTCATAAAGCTAAGCAGGACCTCAGAGAGGTGGGAATGGGGAACGTTCACATTTGGGATGGAGAACTGCATCATGAAAAGCCTCAAGTCTGACAAGAGTCAAACAACAAGAGTTCCCAGCCCAATTTCATGGTCTAAAAGGCCTAAATTGATCTTTAGATGTGCAAAAAGGGGGACAGGGAATAGGAATCAGTGGTTTTTGCCTCTATAAATGGCACTGGTGGGACCTATGCTGCAATATCACATCAATTTCTCCTCTGTGAACAAATGTTTTAGAAGATGTTGAAAAATTGACCTACTGCAGAATAAAGCCACAAAATTGACTTAAAGGCTGGAGAAAATGCAGTGAGAGCCATAAAAAGCTTGTTCTTCAGTAAAAAGAAGATGGAGAGGCTACTTGATCACAGTGCATTAGTGTCTTCATGGGGGGGAAAACAGGTATGAATAGTCTAAAACACCAAGAGACGACAAGAAGCAGAGCCTGGAAGTTGAAGCTGGACCAAAACAAATGAGGAATGAGGCACGTGCTCATACCCATGAGTTTTAACTACTCCATGGAAAGTTCAGAGAGCAGGGCAGATGTACTCTGCAGACTAAATGCCTTCCCCAAAAACACTGTTAAGCCATTCA